GGGGGGGGGGGGTAGATGGCCAATGAGGCAGGAAAGATTGTCCGTATCTTTTTTTTTGTGCCCTACTCAAAACAGATCTTCTATATCTTTATCTGTGTGTGGTTGGCAGGTGCTCTGAAGATGTTTGCCCCGTTTTTCTTATCAGACTTCTGTCTTCCTTATTTCTCCTTCTTTTACTCGTATCTGTGTATCTTACTCACCGGTAACACCAATCTCTAATCTTCGGCACTGATATGACCTATGTGTCGTAAAACATTTACAGAAATTGAAAAACAAACAAACAAAATCTTTGCCGTCCCCAGCCCAATTTGTGATAGGCATCCTACTAGACTAGACACACAGTGAGCTCAGTTTGGTACCATGCTGTTCTTACGGAGCGGATGGTCTTGGTTCGAGCCCCCATCGGGGTTTTCTGAACTAGGGTTGTTTGGGGGGAGTTTTTAAGGCGGCGCTGCACTCATTTCTGTGTATGTTATTCTTCAGTAACACCTCAAATCTTCGACACTGATAATTATGACCTATTCTTATTGCCAGTGCCGTAAAACTCTTACTTCACTCTATCCGTTCGTCGTGTTTTACTATCGTATCCATACGACGTGCGGAACTCTGTGCCACCACTTTCCAAAGGGGAAATTTACTCGTTTATCCGATCCGTACGCTTTGCATAGCAGTCTGTCAAAATGATTTTTTGAGAAATACTAACAGTTTCAAAGAGATCTTCGCACTAGAAGTATTCTAAAATGTGAAGAATACAACCCCGGGGGTACAAAATGACCATTAAAAAAAACACACAAAAAAAACAACAAAAAACAAAGCCTCCTGACCAAAATCATTGTCATCCCCAGCTAACTTTGTGATCGGCTTTTATCCCATTTCTTCTTATCCACGTATGTAACTTTTAGTAACACCTCTATTCTTCGGCTCTGATATGATCTATTCGTATTACAAGTGTCGTAAAACTTTTACAAAAACTTACCAAAATCTTTCTCGTCCCCAGCCAAGTTTGTGATTGGCATTTATCTCATTTCTTTTTATCCATGTATGTTACTCTTTAGTAACACCTCTAATCTTCCCCTCTGATATGACTTATTCGTATTGCAAGTGCTGTAAAACTCTTACTAAAGCTGAAAAAAACCCTAACCAAAGTCTCTGTCGTCCCCAGTCAAGTTTGTGATCGGCATCCCCAGCATCAAGCGCCCAGTGGATGTGTACGTCTACAACACTGTGGGCTCACTGCTCGATGCTATGACAGAGTCGGAGAAACAGCAGACTCTGATCCTTGTCTGTATAGCCGAGGTGAGGGTGTTTGCTTGTTTGTTTGTTTGTTTGTTTGTTTGTTTGTTTGTTTGTTTGTTTGATTGATTGTTTGTTTGTTTGTTTGTTTATGATGATAAACACTCATCCTTGTCTGTATAGCTGAGGGGAGAGTTGTTTGTTTGTTTGAGATGGTAGACACGTATCCTTGTTTGTATAGCTGAGATGGGATTGTTTGTCTTTAGACTATTCCCAAAGGGGGGATATTAACATGTTCTTATACACAGTAGAATTGTAAATGGGCTGATTTATCAATGTCATGCTCATACTGTGCCGGAACAACACAGGAAGAACAGCTGCTTTTTCTTTCCTCATCCTTACTATCGTTATTTTTCCTCTACTTCTTTTGTATGTTTGTCACTCTCTTGTGTACTGCTCTTTCCGGGGTGCCTTGATAGTTGAAGCAGACTTTGTGCTGTTGAGGCTAGAGAGGTGAGCAGAGTAAGCCTGATTCCCCGTTTGGACTTCTCTGTTTACAACCACCCCTTTGCGCTCATATGACCTCATGCAGTTGCAAGCGCCGTAAAACCTCTACTAAAACAAACAAACAAACTGTTTGCTTGTGATGGCGAACACTCATTCTTGGATTTCTGTGTAGCTAGGATGAGATTCTTGGGTTTGGTTTGGAAAAAGGTTAACGGCGCTCGCATCTGCGTTAAGTCATAATTATGAGCGCGGGGGACACACGTTTTTTGTAAGGTATTCCCGTCAGTCCACAGCTCAGCTTGGTTTTACTTTGAAACTCAGAATGGTTGAATTATCTATAAAATATGCAATATAGTAAAATTTTCAGTAAAAAAAACCAAAATCCAATGGTTTACATGTTTAAAATAGCACTATCTACATGATGGTGAACAAGCTATTGATCTAACATTGTGTTCAGTTCGGGCCTATCACGAAGAACCAGCATCTCCACCTTTCTGTAGGCCTGTGCCGCACACCTAGACAAATCAGTCTTTAGTCTGTCTGAAGACAGATCTGTCTAGATGCGGTATAGGCCTTGGAGTGAGAGCCTCAGCTCGGCCCGACGTTGTGTCCTTGGGGAAAGGCACTGTACAAGAATTTCCCACTTGGCTAAGTCATTTCGGAGATAAATGTTGAATACGGAGGTCCTGCCTCTTAAATGACACAACAGTGTTGATACGGACGTTAAACTTCTATACAACCTCACCATTTTTTCTTTAATGGGAAAAGAAAAACCCATACAACTTCAAATCCCAGTCTCTGCCTGCTGCATGCAGCTATCTAAATAAAACGCAGCAAAATTCTGGGTTGCCTCATTGTTATTCCTCTCTGTATCTCGCTCCTCCTCCCCTCCTCCTCCCCTCCTCCCCTCCTCCCATCCTCCCCTCATCACACCAATCGATACTCTTGCAATCATCCGTCCGTGCCTCCGGACCCCTCCTGCCTCCTACCTCCCACCTCCTACCTCTCAAACAGACATGAATAAAGGAACATCGGGCTGACATCACGATCAGCAAATACTCCAAATAGATGCCCGGGAATCTACAATCGTTATTGTCATTGTACGCGACGAACATGTAGGTCTAAGTGAATTTTTGTCCAAACGAAATGCTGTATCATGATATTGAGTCAAGATTTTGATTGTGGGCGGTTAGAGGGGGCTTTGATGGGATCTGCTCCTTCTTTTCTATCAAGCATCTGTCGTGGGTGGTTGGCGGGTGCTCTGATGTGGTCTGCTCCACGAGGAAAACTCTTATAAAATGCCTTTCCCAAGGACACAACGTCGGGCCCCTGACGGGATTCGAACACACGAGCTTATGGTTGCGCTAAGCTGTCTGTCTGTCTGTCTGTCTGTCTGTCTGTCTGTCTGTCTGTCTGTCTGTCTGTCTATCTATTTGTCACATCCACCTTTCTATACGTCTCTCTGTTAATTAATTAATTAATTAATATATTTATCTATTTTTCTTCAGGATATTATTTAAATGTATTTCCCTCCGTTCATTCCTCAGCCGTGGAACGACCAGTATGCTCAGGAAGTCCTGTCTACCTTCAAGAAAAGGTTTGTGAGTTCTTCATGGTTTTTTTGTTTGTTTTTTTGGGAGGGGGTTGTCTTTTTGTGGTAAGTGTTTTACGGCGCTCGCAACTGCACAAGGTCATAATAAAAGGAGTGTGCAGGACACATTAAACTTTTTCAGATGGTAGGAAACTTTGAATGTTGCCCGACCGAAGCCTACTCTTATCGATTTTGGACCACCAAGAGATCTTAAACGTGCGCAACTTGCTTATGGAACCTATAAGCTTTTTCGCCCCTTTTCGAGACGGCTAGGTGTAGATCTTTCCTAACAGAAGATCAAGGGTGGGGCTGAAAGACAGAGACAGAAGTAAGGAGGAGCCAAGGAGAAGCAGTAAAGAGGCTGCAGAAAGAGTCAGGAGCCCAGAGGAGGGGGCAAAGGAGGTGAGGAGGTGGGGGCAGAAAGTGGAAACGAAAGCAGAGGATAGAACAATGTTAGAGAGTAGGAAAGGAGGTGAAAGGAGAACATCTATTTTAGAGAAGAAAATTTTCTGTCGCTATCCGAATTCGAACCCAGGGCCTATTGAATGAGAGGCGAGCACCTTAACCTCTAGACCACGAGAGCCCCCCTTGCCATGCTTTGGTACTGGGGTAGTTTGATATAGTGGTCTGTTGGTGGGGTGTAAAGAGCATATTGTTTTGAATTATTGAAGATTGACGCCAGTTCGTTTGTTAGTTTTGCGTGATGTAAAGAGTATATTGCTGTCAATTGTTGACGCCAGTTCGTTTGTTAACTGTGATGTAAAGAGCATATTCACATTATATTTGTTATGAATTATTGAAGCAGGTTCGTTTGTTAGCTGTAATGTTAAGAGGTTATCCTGTCCATTATTGAAGCAGTTGATATTTCAGTTATGCTGCTCTTCTTTTGAGCTGGCAAGCTTTTTTTCGGGGGGGGGGGGAAATTTGTG